CCACCTCAGCCTCCCATGTAGCTGGGACTATGGACACACAACATCATACCTGGCTAATTTTTTATTTTATTTTATTTTTTGATTGAGATGGGGGTCTCGCTTTTTACCCAAGCTGACCTTGAAGTTGTGGCTTCAAGTGATTCTTTGGCTTCAGCCTCCAAAAGTCCTGAGATTACAGGTGTGAGCCACCAATTCCAGCTCAAAAATATTTTATACACAAATAGTTTATTTGATAAAATAAGAAAAAGGCAAACAAGGCAACAAAAACATGAGCAAAGAATACCAGCAAAAAGCTATCCAACCTTAATAGTTATCAAGGACCTGCAAAAAATATATATTTCTTAAATATAAGATTGGCTAATAGTAAAAGATAGATTAATACCTTGTTAATGAGGATGCAAGAAAACATAGCTATATTAAGTTGGTGTGAGGTTAAATTTGTAAAGCCACTGTGGAGAGCAGACTGGCAAAATCTATAAAGTGTGAATGTGAGTATCTTCCCTAAATTCAAAGTATCTTCTCTGTAGACATATGTACTCATATTATATAAAGCTATTTGTACCTGAATATTCATCAAAGCATGGTTTATTGTAGCTAAAAATTGCAGAAGGTAAATCAGAAGGGAAATACTTTATTTAAATGAAGTGCTCAATAAATACTTCATGTGTACATTCATTTAAATAAAATGAAGTATAGTCATACTATAAAAAACTATCAAGTCTTTAGAATGAATGTAGTAGATTCCTATGTATGGTTATGTTAATATCTCTAAAATATATTCTTAATTTAAAAAGTGTAGGAGTGGAACAATATGAATAGTGTTCCCATTTATTTTTAAAAGCAAATAAACCTGAAAATATATAGACGTGTATATGCATGTAAGTGATTGTATAAAAACCAAAAGAATTTATATTAACCATTAATGTGGCTTACCTTTTGGAAGTTGAGTAGAAATAGGAAATAGGATGTGGAAAGGAACATTTTATTCTGTATATTTCAGATGTAATGTTAGTCTTTAACAATGTGAATGTCTTCAAATATTATTTGTACAATAATGAAATTGTTCCCTAGTTTATTCCCGAGAAGTATAATACTAAGGCACATTTTGTAAATTAAGTTCAGGCATATAAACAAGCTTATATACTAACATATTGATAGACAGAGCAACTTCATCTGGGTTTTTACAAGATGGAAGACTGCGTAGGATAAAATAGGTGAACTGTCAATCCATAAAATTGAGTACTTTAAAAGTGTGTTGTTACCATATTTAAATTTTCAGTGTAAACGAGGTCTAGCTAAAAAGTCATTTACAGAGTAAAAATCTGGTGTTGCGCTATAACATCCCAAATTTTCCCTAAGAAAATAAAATTTTTATCATGAATTATGCATTTTTATCATATTTTAAAAATATTTATTCAGCTTAATTTCACCAAAATGGCAACACATCAAATCTTAGATCATTTGTACTTTCAAAGGTTATATCATACGTATGCATTTAAACACACACACACATACACATTTGTGTTTGTATATGAAAACATAGGATTATGTCTGCTTTAATAATTTCTCTAACCTACAAAATGTGATAGATAGGTATAACTTTATTTGTAACCATTTAAGCCAACACAGTCAATCTGTTTCAAGATTTTATTTTGCAGCATGGACATTTTCACGCAAGCTCCATTGCACAGCTCCAGGGGGCACCATTCACATTACAGTCCACATGTTTAATGGACTTGTCCATTGTACAGACTGTGTGGCCATTGGTGGAGGCCCTTTTTTGAAAGTGGTTCTGTAGCAGAATCTTATTATAAAAAATATGATATATTTAGAAAGATATTTAAAGAAAATCATAAATATGCCTAAGTGGTTACCTTGACTAGAGTCACATTTTGGCAGCCTTTCATAATCCAAAATAATACCACTTAAGGTCAATAAATATAGGAAATTCCGACCTCTCTAAAGTCAGTGAGTGTCAACTGTATATAATTTCATGTTCTGAGCTCTAATTCCTACAGCAAAAACAAAAACACTTTTTCCTTCCTTATTTCAAAACCCACACAGATTATGGGTGTTAATGACACTATACTTAAAAACTGTTAACCTTGTGGCAGAAAATAACCATATAAAAACATAAATTTTGTTTTCTTTCTTTAAACTGTACATTTAGAGTGTCCTGAATAAACAAAATATGAGACTTATGTAAACATTCACCCTTTTAAGAGAAAAAAAGGACCAAAACAGCATTGCACATTGGATCATATTTTGGAAAGGAGGAAGGTAACTGAAGCATAGCTGTAAAGATATCTTTTTTCTTTTCAGTTTACCCTTGAGATGTGCCTATCAAAATAATCTAAATTTATCCAGATGATGTTTTTAATCTTGAAAAAGGCTTTTTTCTTGTTGGATGATCCTATTAGCAAACTGCTGGAAGGGAAAATCATACAGGGCATAATTTGTAGTTTGACCTACTCACATTGGGTGTTGCTAAAGAAAATCAATCAGAAATTGCTGTGTTAAAATAACTCTATCTGCTCTACCTGGCGTGTGTGACTGACTTTAGAATCTATCATTTAAAGAAATGGTTGTTGCTTGGATATACAATTTATCAAACTTCAGTCCTTCTTCTCTGAAGCACAGAAAAAGAATCATCCCTCTCTAAATATAAATCTTTTAAGAGAAATTCAAGGAATCTGTCTCCAGCAAAATAATTGATAAATGGTAGGAGCATAATTTAAAGATGATTTCCATCACAGATCACATGGCATCTCAATTCCTGAGTATGTCACCCAAGTCTTTCCATCTGTTGGTCCACGAGCATCAATCTCAGCTCCTCTGTGACCAGTTCTCTGATCGAGCTAGGTTGGTCTTTTCAGAATTACAACTTTTCGATTTCCCTCTGTCTTGCAGTATGAGGCTGTTGTTACTGCCTGAAAAGTTCTCCAACATTTTGCTGCCAACCCAGGCCTACTATTATCTCCTCACAGCTTCATTTAACAGACACTTCTCTTACAGAAAAAAAAAAAAAAAAGTGAGGGAAGAAAGAAGGAATAAAAAGTGCTTTCTCTTACATTACCTTTTACTTTTTTGTTTCCCCAACATTAAATCCTTGTTCAAAATACTGTCCTCATACACTCTCCTAGAAATTGACTTCTAATTATAAAGTGATAACTCAAGGAATCAATTGCTATCTATAATTCCATGAGATCTGGGTAACTGACATTACTGTTTCCTTGTTTTTCTGGGTATGGGAGTCACATACATTCACCTAGTGTTCAATCGTTGTTTACTAAATCAATTAATGTAAAGGAGGAAAGTTTTATTTTATTAATTCCACAAAATTATATTTGGAAAATATTATTTTGGTGTGTAGACTGTAAAACATAAATCAATCTCTTAAATTATTAATCATTAAGCTCATGACCAGGAAAGTAAAAGCTGGCAATAGGATAACATATGTTTAAATTAGTTATGATTTTTATTATAGAGAAACTGCCTTATATGGACCTCCTTGTGAAATGGCTAATTATAGCCCATTGTAATTCAAGACTCTAAGATATCAGAGGCCACTAGTATTATTGACTGTATCAAAATTTAAAATTTCTATTTTAGGGGAGGGGAACACCGTAAATGAATTTAAAAATCAAACTCTAAAAATAAAATTTCCAGTATAAATGGCAGAAAAAGCATAATAGTCTTAATATTCTATACAATCATAAGAAAAAGTTTACTATACTAATAGGAAAATTAACAAAGCATATCTATAAGAGACAATATATAGCCAATAAACTTATGCAAAGATTTTCACCCTTTATAGTACTTAAAGATTCAGTGAAAATCAAATCCTCAAAAATTAAAATAAAGCCATTAGCTTGTGAGAATGTGATGAATGACATTCTCATATACTGCTGGGAAGAATGTAAACTTTCCAGAAAGTGGTTTGGCCATATATATCAAATTTTTTTATTTGTATTTATCTTTTAAGCCAAGGATTTTCCTTCACTGGGTTTATCCCAAATAGATAATCAGACAATGGGCAGAAATATGGGTACATATATTTGATTATTATGGAAAAAAAAACTGTGGAGTACCTAAATGTCTGTCATTAGAAGAGTGTTTAAAATTCTTATGGTGCCTCTATATAATTCTGTCATCATTAAGAGTATTCATATAGTGTTGTACTTATGATGGAAAGTTATTCACACCATGTTAATTATGTGATAACAACAAGCTACTAAATGTGTCCATTGTGACCACAGTTTGTATATCCACATCTGTGTGTGTATATGTATACACATATGTACAAACAGAGAGAGAGCCAATAGGTCCTGAAGGACAAACATCAGATTATTAGCTGTAGTCCTGGATTGTCAAGAAAATGCTGAAGAGCAGTTGATGTTGACAGTATACCAGATAATCTTTGCTTTCCCTTTTAACTTGTCTTTATGAAATTATTTTTCTGAAATTATTTTTTGCAATCAGCATATATTATAGCATACATACATGTTCTTGTTTTTAAAAAGTAACAGCTTAAACTACCAAAGTTTTACTTCTTTCCCTTTTATTTTCCTTATTCAGTATTATTTCTTTTTTTTCCTTGCTTACTTAACTTTTAAAAAATGCATAACATTATAAAATTGTCTGCTTTATTTTGAGCAGATGCATTTCATGTTTCTGTGATTAGGCAGTGTTCATTTTCCCTAAAGCAAAAAGTTCTACTGCAAATGAAGATTTAATTATTACTTGAGGATGAGTATGTTATTATTCATGAGTTATATAAGTCATAAAAAACTTCCAGGATGATAACAATAGGACCTAGAAAACAAGGACTTTAGCTAAGGGGATTTACTCTGTTATTTATGATACTGTCTGGCCAATAGTTGGCAGGACTTGGGGGGATGAATGCAGTCTAAGAAAAATCATCATGTTTGTATTCTATGATGACAAACCCACAGAATCCATTAACAATCTACACTTTCGGTTTAAAGTGTTCTTTTCAGCATTTTCTAGGATGTCCAGACATAATGCCTAAGGTAAACTGTATCAGGTTCAGCAACCCACATTTGAAAGTGGACATTTTCTTTTCTTTTTATTTTTTTTTTTAATATGGAGTCTTGCTCTGTCTCCCAGGCTGGAGTACAGTGGCTCTATCTCGGCTCACTGCAACCTCCACCTTCCAGGTTCAAGCGCTTCTTCTGCCTCTGCCTCCCTAGTAGCTGGGACTACAGGCACCTGCCACTATACCTGGCTAATTTTTGTATTTTTAGTAGAGACAGATTTTCACCATATTGGCCAGGCTGGTCTCAAACTCCTGACCTTGTGATTCTCCCGCCTCAGCCTCCCAAAGTGCTGGGATTACAGGTGTGAGCCACTGCACCTGGCCGAAAGTGGACATTTTCAAATCAAAATGTTTTCAAAGGAAAATAACCTGGATTTTCCAGGACCAGAAGCCTCTGAAAAAGAAAAGATTCAGAGTGGACGTAATAGCTGCCTTCAAATCTAAAGGACTGACAAGATAAAGAAGAGATTTGTCTTGTCTGCATAACTCCCAGATGGCAAACCAAAGATCATTGGTTTTGGTTCTAGGGTGAACCTTTACTAAATAAATGCAATCACTTTCTAAATATAGAAGCATCTAGAAATGGAAGGGATGAGATGTGGGAGGGCAGAGGCTCATGTCTTCCTCAGTTTTATACTACCAACTCTCATCTCAGCACAGGTCCTGGCAGACAGACGGTACTTTAAGTTTTATGGAATGAATTGAGAGGTAATAGGTTACATCGTCATTGAATATATTTCAAGTTTAGCAATACGGTTTTTGTTGAATGATATTTTGTGAAGTTGTTTAAAGCACTAGAAGGGAAATTGAGCTAGATGATCTATGAGTATGTGACCATCAAACCCGGATTTTTTAGGACTTTCAATTTAAACTATTTTGTCCTATTCTTCCCATGAGTATACTTCCAAATGTTCTTCTCATTAGTAAAGTCCAAAATTTATGATCAGCCAGTCTTACTCTGGGTAGCAATTACTAATAGAATGATAAAGTGGATTCCTTCCTATGGGCTGGAAATCATGTAGGATTGCTTACAGTTGGAGTGGATAAATGCAGTTGTTTATAACTAAAAGGTCACTTATAAATATATAGTTGGTTCTATCTTGGTGAATGCAGACTTACATGTTAATAAATATACTCAAATGTAAGACAACCAAAACTCTAGGGTGATATATATTTATTGATTGCATTTTTAAAAAAGAAGATTTTGATCAGTTTTATAATATTGGGCCAGATACCAATGTGTTTTCATAGTATTCAGGTTGGCTTATGAGGCCACTCTTTAGACATGGTGAGTGTTTAACAGATGGCAGAGAATATACAAGCAGGTATGCATTGTGCAGGAAAGCATGCAAGTGAAGAGTCAATTAAGAAAGAATAAACATGCTTAGCAAGAGGCCACCTGATTGGTATTCTAACTACGGAACTGAGAAACTTTCTATGCAAATTACGCAGCTGCATCAGCACCATTGACATCATAGGAGTGAAGAGGGGAAAAAAAAACAGGAAAGCTCTCTGTGGCAAAATAGCTCTGTGCTCGATCAAGGAAATAATATAAGTGTAGATGTGGAAGAAGGAAGTTGCTTTTTCTTCTGTTTGCCTGAACCAGTAATGACCACAGCAGAAGTGACAAGTTTAACTGATGAATATGGAGTTTCATAGCTCCCAGAACACTGATTTTGGACTAAGAAGAATTTAGATGGGAGATGCAACCTACTTTCCCTTATTTCAAGATTTGCATGCCTGGTACATACAGTGTCGTATAAATGTGCCAAGATTTGTGAAGAGGTACGCGCGCACGCGCGCACACACACACACACACACACACACACACACACACACGTACACGCATGCACACTTGAAACAGCGGGAGTACCTAAGAGGTAGATATCCATTATTCAAGGAATTTCTTCCTTCCTTTATTCAATACATGGTAACTTAAAGAATAAAGGACTTTATATAAAAAGATATTTTAGATGGGGAAAAACACACAATATAAGCTAACCAATGAACTCGGTTATTTTGCTTCATTTAAAGAGTGGGTTTGAATGATCTTTTCTTCAATAATAAGCAAAATACATTAAATAAATATAACATACTAATATTCATAACCTGGAACAACTCATGTTTCTTCTATGAAGACTTCTGACTTCTGTAGACTATGCCGAATCCTCCCTCCTGTAGAGATTTGAACTAAGACGCTGTACTGTTTGGTATCAGTTTATATGTGATGTGACTTTAGCTAGGCTGCCTTCAAGCCTGCCTCTGCTCTCTCTCTCTCTGTGTGTGTGTGTGTTTGCATCACACACACACACACGCACGCACGCACACACGCACGCACACATAAATTCTAGGAGGTTGAGGGAAACGATGACTCTTTACTGTATATCTTTAGCTTTCTTTAAAAGCTCAACCCAACAATTATACATAGGGCATCACACAGAGACCCAGATAGTCTCCTAAGTTTTCTCTTGGTTTTAAAAATATGTGCAAAGGCCAGGCACGGTGGCTCACACCTATAATTCCAGCACTTTGGGAGGCTGAGGTGGGTAGATAGAACACTTGAGGCCAGGAGTTCGAGACCAGCCTGGCCAACATGGTGAAACCCCGTCTCTACTAAAAATATTTTTAAAAAATAATTAGCTGGGTGTGGTGGCAGGCACCTGTAATCCCAGCTACTCAGGAGGCTGAGGCAGGAGAATCACCTGAACCTGGGAGGTGAAAGTTGCAGTGAGCCAAGATCACGCCACTGCACTCCAGCCTTGGATGACAGAATGAAACACTGTATCAAAAAAAAGAAAAAAAAAAAATATATATATATATATATATGCTCAAATTCTTCCAAATACTCTAGAACTTCAATCCCCTTGAAAGTGGGCTGGGCTTAGTGCCTTTCTTCTAGTGAATAGAATGTGGCAGAAATGGCAGAATACCACTTCCAAGATGAGGCTATAAAAAAACCTGTGGCTTCCCTCTTGGTTCCTCTGTTGATCTCTCTTGAGTCACTTGCATTGGTGATGCGTGTTGCTATGCTGTAAGGACACTCAGCAGCATCTGGAGAGGCCCACAAGGCGATGCTTAAGTGAGCTTGGAAGTAGATCCTCCTCTAGTTCATCCTGGAGATGAATGCAGGCCTGACTGACAGCTTGAGTGAAACATCATGAAAGACCCTAAGCAAATAGCACATAGCTAAACCATGCTCAGATTCCTGACCCACTGAATTATGTATTTCTAAAAATTTGCTCTTTTAGGTGGCCATGTTTGGGGTAATTTGTTACACAGCAATAGATAACTAATACATTTCCCATTCCCCACAGCAGCTGAAATCTCTCTCTTTTGTCTCATATTTCAATCATCCCCAAAATGCTCACTTCTTTTTTTTTCCATTTTCTCCTCCCCTGTGCCTGGCTGCTCCTTGCACAACCCACTCTAGCTTCCTGTTATTGGTCTTCAATCTCAGAAAAGCCCCCTTGGATTTCTGTTTACAAAAAAAAACAGTTCTCCCCCATGAATGACTTGTCTCCCTAACTATTGTACATAATAGGTGCTTAGTAAATACCTGTTCATAGTATAAGCAAACTTCAAATTCTTTTGACTTGTGCAAACAAAATTTATTCATTTGAAAAATATTTTCTTAACAATTGAGACTAAAGTTATGGAGAAAGGTGCTTCCGTGTTTGAAGCTAAGCCTTTTGTGAGCAAGACTTGCTACTGATAACTCTAAAACTTTATCTGGTACCTGAGCGAGACAGACCTTGGACTCCATGTATTCTCTGGCTTCCAGAACAGAAAGAAGCATACATTTTAATTTCACATGAGCAAAGCTGCTGTACAGTTAAAGCTCAGCAAGCACTTTCCTCTTAGGAACAATTCTAGGTTCAAGATCATTGTCTTCTAAATGCATTTCCAGGTCAGTGTCTGTTGCCACCTGATTATCAAGGTATTTATTGAACAAATGCAGTGTGCCTACCAGCATTCTAAATACTCTGGAGACTTTCTGTCAGTCAGTAAGTTCCTGTACAAACATTACTTTTACCGTTGTTGTGTGACACTGGCTAGCAAAACAAACATAGTTTCAAAATGCTAAGAGCCTAGCAAGAGAAACAGACATTAATCTAGTAAACCCACAGGCATATAATTACAAACCAAGTACTTTAAAGGAAAAATGGAGGTTACTCTAAAGAGGTGTATTAAAGAGCTTCTTATAATCTAGGGATCAGTGGATCAAGGAAGGTTCCCTGAGTTATTTACCTTTGTGTAGGGATCTAGGCATAACATGTGAACTAGGCAAATGTGTAGGACAAAGGGAAGTGGAGCTAGTTGAGCATTTACTATATGCTAGGCACTAAGCACTTAAAATACTACACACACGTAATCTTCACAACAACCATAGAGGGTGAACACCTCTTTAACCGTATTTTAAAAACATGAAACCTATGGCTAATGTTCACAAGCTTAACTACTGTCCCAAACTTCCTCTGCAAAGACTTTGAGTTAATCCTGAAACATATCAAAGAAAACCTTGAATGAAAGAGACTTTTTAGATCATTTTTCAGTTAAGCAGCATGTGATGTTGATTACCTACAGAAGTTTCAACAGTTAAAACCCAAACAAAATAGAACATAGTTTAACTTATTACCTTCCAAACATGCACTCTAAAAGGATAAAGAATGATATAAATAATAGTGTAACAAAGTTATTTTAAATTATTCCTCTACAACCCTTTCCATTTCTTTATACTTTCTACCCAAGAGCCCCATGATGTTCTTTTTATATAATAAATACTGCTAACCAAATATATATGGTTCAGTTTATGTGCAGTTTATGAAAACGAACACTGTACTGTGTATTAAATTACAGCCAAAATTGAGAAAAGGGAACACAGTTCATTATTCTTTGTTAAATAATGAATGTTTTTGAAATAATATGATCGTTAAATGCAAATGAGCATAACTCTGATATAAATGTAAATTTTTCAAAACTTGAAATGTTCTTTAAGATAAACTCTTTGGCTGAATTCTGAATATTTAATTGTTCTGCTTTCACAAAATGAATGCAGTCACCTATTCAATATAATTAGTTATCTAGGGAAAAACAATTATAATTGAACATAGCTGCTTCCCAAATGCATTTTAAATAACATAAACAATCCTATGTTAAATATTTGGCCCACTGCTTGGATATATTTTATTTGCCTCTCCAGACCCCCCTCCCATCTTTTTTTTTTTTTTTTTTTTTTTTTTTTGAGACCAAGGAGTTTCACTCTTGTTGCCCAAGCTAGAGAGCAATGGTGCGATCTTGGCTCACTGCAACTGCCGCCTCTCAGGTTCAAGCAGTTCTCCTGCCTCAGCCTCCCAAGTAGCTGGGATTACAGGCGTGTGCCACCACACCCAGCTAATGTTTTTTTTTGCAGTAGAGTTAGGGTTTCACCATGTTGGCCAGGCTGATCTCCAACTCCTGACCTCAGGTGATCCACCTGCCTTGGTATCCCAAAGTGCTGGGATTACAGGAATGAGCCTTCATGACCAGCCACCAGACCACTTTTTCTACCCTACCCTGTGCCTCAGAATGCTAATGCTATGGAAACCATCCAGAGGCTCCTTGGCTCCCTTGCCTTCTATCTGTGCCAGCTGGGTGCGTGCGTGGGAGAAGGCGTGAGGCTGAAGTGGGTTTAGTCCCAGCTCCCTCCCATTGAATCACTGCATTTTGGGTGCGTCCTCCACAGGGCATAGTTTCTATCTTGTCCATGTAGCTCTTCTCTCTGTATTCTGGAAACTATTCCTTCCTCTTTCCCAATCACATGAGGCATAAGAACAGAGTTAGGGTACTGCACCATCCCCTTGTTAATTTCCCTCAAACCAGCCTGCACCTCTGTATAAAATCCTTTTACTGAACCCTCCTCAATTAGCCATTTTCACTGTATTATTTTCTCTTAGAACCCTATATAGTAATTGATACCAAGAGTGGCCTCAGGAAGCTGACCCTCAAATGAGATTCTGAATTGGGTTGTTCACATATGTGTGTGGTGCCCAGAAAACTTAACTGGGCAAGAGTAGGGGTAGGGAGAAGTTGGGAGGCAACACTGAGAAACATGACTGAGCATTGACTCTAAGGATATCCAACAGAAGATAATTAAATAGAAAGTTGGGCAGGCCTGAATGTGCTGATGTGGGTGCACTCAGGATTTGGGACTTAAGAATGTGAGTCCAGCACCAAGGAGTGGCATTAAGAGTCTGCTAGGCTGGTTAATGGAAGGCTGAACTCAGAGGTGCCCCACAGTCAATTAGATTGTTGTGGCAGAACTTCCCTGGAAGGATGCAAAGAGAAGAAAAGATTCTGATATTCAGGGAGATGAAATAATGTATGCTCTGTTTTGCCATTTCCTACTTATCATCTTGTGAATGTCCAGAGGATACACTCCTCTTATCTGGGCATTCGGGAATGCCTTACTGAGGAGGCTTCCACCATCACTGACAGCCCAGTAGTGGCTATTCTCAGTAGGATGACTTCTAAGCAGAGGTGTGAGATGCTTTGAACGATGTTTGGGATGAAGAGCATCCTGAAGGGAACAGTCCACACTCACCATTTTAATGACAAACTTATATGTTTTTAATCACTAAATGAATTTTCAATATTAGTGAGGAAAAACATGTTGCCATGGAAGTTTTTTTAAAGAAAGCTAGAGAAAATATACACTGCTCACTAATGCTTGAATGACTATACTCTGTATAATTGACACAAAAAAGTATGGAGAATTATTTCAAGTTTTGCACAGTGTAAGAACAGAAGCTGATACATCAGCTTGGTTCAAAGGTAAGCCCTCCCCCTCAGTAAATGAATTACCATTAACGATTTTCTTAATCTCTATGAAGCTTGATTGTTCAATTACAAAATAAGGGGACTAATATCTGTCTCCCATTATTGTAGGGATAAACAAGACAGGGCCCGGCATAGGACAGCATCTCAACTAATAGAGCAAAGTAGGCTTG